TCACTGTAAGAAAAGAGGAGTGGTTTTATACATTAAAGAAACTATCCCAGCAAAACTGATCCATACTGATGAAGATGGAAGAGTATTAATGGTTGAAATAGTGGATAATAATACAAAAACACTCCTGGTTGCAATTTATGCCCCGAATGATAAACAAGAAGAATTCTACAAAAAATTACATATGAAAATAATTGAACTGGACTATGCTAATATAGTTATGATGGGAGATTTCAATGGAATTGTAGACAATAAATTGGACTATACAGCAACAGCAACACGACAAAATAGACTCTCCCTAAATCCTTTTTCAAAATGATAGATGAATTAAATTTAAAAGATATATGGAGAGAAAGAAATGCTAAAATTCAACAATATACTTTCTACTCAAATAGACATTCATCATGGTCCAGAATAGATATGATTTGGACATCAACAGAATTAATATCTAATATTCAAGAAATAAATATTGAAACAAGTACATGGGCAGACCATAATCCAATGACAATTAAATGGAAAGGACAAAAAAGAAGATCTAGATGGACATTAAATAATACTATTTTAAAGGAAAAAGACTTTACACAATGGATGGAGAAAGAATTGGCTTTCTTCTTTAGTGAAAATAAAAAAGATACTTCAATACAGAATGTTTGGGATACAATGAAGGCATATGCGAGAGGATTAATAATAGACTATACAAAGAAAAAGAACGTCAGGAAGAGGCAAACCTTCAAAGCTTTAGAAGTTGACCACAAAAAACTGGAAAAAGAATTACAGAAAATGCCACAGAAAAAAGATATTAAACTTAAAATGGACATAATTAAACATAAAATGGGTCAGATAGAGAAAGAAGAATTGGCACAAAAAATTAGAAGTGCTAAACAGAACTATTTTGAAGATGCAAATAGGCCAGGTAGATGGTTAGCATACAAACTGAGAAAGGAGAAAGAATCAAGGAAAATATTACAGTTAATAGACGATCAAGGCCAAATGTGCTATGGTGACAAGGAGAAAAAGGCAATTATCCGAGACTTTTACGGACAACTATATAAACAAGAGGATATTGATGAGGAAAAAATTAAACAGTATTTACAAAATGCTAACCTACCTAAGATACCCGAAGAGACTGAAAAAATGTTAGAAAGTACTATAACAATGATGGAATTAACCGAAGCACTCAACAGACAGAATAATGGAAAAGCACCAGGTCCAGATGGGCTTCCGGCAGAATTTTATAAAACACTACAAGAATCGTTGAGCATTCCATTGCTAGAAGTCATGAATGAAGTTATGTCAAATAAGAAGATACCTAAAACATGGTCAGAAGCTTACATTACACTTATTCCAAAAGAAGGGGCCGATCCATTACAAATCAAGAACTATAGACCTATTTCTTTATTGAATGCAGATTATAAAATCTTTGCTTCAATTTTGGCAGAAAGGCTTAAAAAATACTTAAATAATTTCATTCATCCTGATCAGAATGGATTTCTGCCAAAGAGACAAATCAAAGACAATATGAGAGTAATTCTGGACACTTTGGAATATTATGAGGTGCATCTTGAAAAACAAATGGCTTTGATATTTCTAGATGCCCAAAAGGCATTTGATAATGTGAACTGGAGATTCATGTTAGTACTACTGGAACAGATGGGTTTTGCCAGAAAATTTATTCAAGCAAGCCATATACTATAAACAAACGGCAAAAGTAATGATAGAGGGAGAACTTACAGACTCTATTAACATAAGAAAAGGCACAAGACAAGGATGCCCATTATCACCTTTGCTATTTGTATTGACTTTGGAAGTGTTGAATAGAAATATTAGAGAGGACCAAAATATAAAAGGAATGAAAATCAAAAAGGAGGAATTTAAACTACAAGCCTTTGCGGATGATTTGGTTTTCATTTTGGAAGATCCTCTAGAGACAGCTTTAAAACTATTGGAAAAGATAGAGACGTATGGTGAGATGGCTGGTTTGAAAATAAATAAAGATAAAACAAAGATTCTGACAAAGAACATGTTATTAAGACAAAGAGAAGAACTGGCAGACCTATTGAAAATTGAAGTCACGAACAAGGTTAAGTATTTGGGGATATATTTGACGTCAAGGTGTACTACATTGAAAGAGAACAATTATATTAAACTCAAACAGCAGATAGCATTTGATTTGAAGAAATGGGAAAATCTACAACTGTCATTAATAGGCAGAATTTCAACAATCAAGATGAATATTTTACCCAGCATTTTATATTTGTTCCAAACAATACCAATTAGGCTTGGCCAAGATTATTTTGAAGATTTAAATAAAATTGTGTTGAAGTATATATGGCAAAGTAAGAAAGCGAGAATAAAATTTAAACTTTTACAAGATGCTAGAACTAGAGGAGGATTTGGCCTTCCTAATTGGGAGCTGTATTATCAAGCTGCAAACTTGATGTGGGCCAAAGAATGGATAACATTAAGAAAGACTAGATTGTTGACACTAGAAGGACATGATTTATTACTGGGCTGGCATGCTTTTCTGTGGTATAAGGGAACTAAATCGCAGGGCTATTTTAGAAGGCATTATATACGGGAGTCTTTATGGTTAAACTGGGAGAAAATTAAGAGACAATGTTATTTGAAAATCCCAGTTTGGTTATCAACTATTGAAGCTTTTTCTTATCCTATAACATACAAGAAGGAACAAACAGTTAGATATGGGGAAATATTGGATGAAAAGGGTGAACTTAAAACGATGCAAAATCTAGAAGAACAAGGTATAAAGATGAATTGGTTTTCATATGCGCAAATACATTCAAGGTATGTTAAAGATTCTAAAATAGGGGGATTCTACGATAAATTGACTGAGATAAGATTTTGACAGGTACTTGATGAAAAAGTGATTAAAAAATTATATGGTTATTTACTGGAAATTAAATTAGAGGAAGAACAAGTTAAAGAAACGATGATTGTTTGGGGGAAGAATTTTGGATATGGGATTGATTTAGAGAAATGACAAAAATTGTGGTCTCAAAATTATCAAATGACAATGTCAACAGCATATAAAGAAAATCTGTATAAGATGTTTTACAGGTGGCATTTCCCCCCGACAAGAATAGCAAGAATGTTCAAGAATAAATCTGAAAAATGCTGGAAATGTCATCAGATACCTGGCTCATATTACCATATGTGGTGGACTTGTGAGGACGCTAGAAAATATTGGACTAAAATTCGCATATGGTTGGAAAAAATGACAAAGAAACATACAGATTTAAAACCAGAGATTTTTTTATTGGGAATCTTACCTGATACATACAATAAAAATTTGAAATATTTGATTGTAAATGTATTGACAGCGGCTAGGATTGTATTTGCTAAAAATAGGAAGAGTGAGAAAATACCATCACAGGAAGAAATTATTAAGAAAATATTGGAATGTGCTGAAATGAGTAGATTGACATTTGAAATTAGAGAACAAGAAGATAAACATTTTTATGAAGTTTGGGACCTTTTCTATCAATGGCTAGATAATAAAATATAATAATAGAATATTTAGAATTTTAGGAAACAATGAATACATATTTCTTTTTTTTTCTTTGATACTATCCTTATAAAATTTTATTAAGATAGACTGGTATGACTTTATGACTTGCTATAAAATAAATTGTAGATTATAGTTATCTCGTTAAAGTATGAATTAATAAAATTATAGTCAAATGATTGTTTAATAATGATATCAGGTTATATAATTGTTGATTGATAATATGAGTTATTATGTAATATAACTACAATGGAGACTATGAAATGGATGCACAAAAAAAGTGGTAAACCAACCGATACACTGTCTGTAAACTCATGAAGGAAAGATGATGTTTTTATGTTTTATGTGTTTTTGTTTGTTGTTAAAAATTAATAAAACTGTTTTCAAAAAAAAAATTCAATATTTATATAAATATGTATAATATTTACATACAAGCCATGCCCAGCCAGTCACATGACCACCACCACACCACCAGACCACACCCACAAATTAGGCCAGGTCCACGGGATTTAAAATTATGAGTTTGGTCGTCCTTAAGGTCCAAAAAGTTGGTGACCCCTGATCTAGTCCAACCCCCCACCCAAGCAGGAGACCCCAAATCGGGTGGGATTCTACCGGTTCGGACCAGTTCTCTAGAACCGGTTGTTATGATTCTGCGCAGTTTGGAGAACCGGCAAATCATGCCCCTGGCTGGTCCCGCCCCTCTTCATCCACCCCTCCCCTCCCCGCCCAGTCAGTCCTGATCGCGCACGTGCAACATCGCACGCATGCCTGACTGTGTTCTCCCCTGCTCAGTCACTCCTTAAGGTATTTCTTTTTTTCCCTCTCCTGACGATCAGCTGTTCCGATGATCAGCTGTTCTGATGATCCCCCTCGCTGTCTTACTGCTTCGCCCAGGAGGCTTCCCTGAGGCCCAGGAGGCAAAACAGGGCGCAAGGAGGGGGTGGGGAGGAGGCAGGGTGGGTGCTGTGCAAAATCGCCCCTGCCCAGGAGGCTTTCCTGAGACCCAGGAGGCAAAAAAAACGGGGGGGGGGGGGTGTTACTGCAAAAAAAGAAGAAGCCATGCCCACCCAGCCACATGGCCACGCCCACCTAGTTACCTAGTAACATGGTTACACCCACCTAGCCATGCCCACAGACCAGTTGTTAAAAAATTTGAATCCCACCCTTGCCCCAAATCATTTTTGACAGATGGCAGCTCAGTCTCTTCTTGAAGGCTTCCAGGGATGGAGCTCCCACAACCTCTGAAGGCAACTTTTGTTCCACTGGTTGATTGTTCCCACTGTGGGGAAATTCTTCCTTATTTCCAGGTTGACTCTCTCCTTGATCAGTTTCCATCCATTATTCCTTCTCTGGCCTTCGGGTGCCTTGGAAAACAGCTTGACCCCCTCCTCCTCTCTGTGGCAGCCCCTCAAATATTGGAACAATAATTGAAATTATTGAAAACCATGTTGGAAATTCTGGTCTTCTTTTGCAGCTCGGCAAAGTTTTCGGCATTGAATCGCATGTCCTGTCTCCGGAGGAAACCAAACAGCTCTACCCCTTGATGAACGTGGACGACCTCTACGGAACCCTCTACGTCCCGGGGGACGGCACAATGGACCCTGCGGGGACCTGCACGTCCCTCACTCGGGCAGCCAGCAACCGAGGGGCTCTGGTAGGATCCCCGAGCCGTTTGAAACATTGAAGTGGCCTGAGAGAAAGAGCGGAGATAAACTGCTTTGCCTGATGAGATCATCTGAGTTCCTCAGGGAGAGAATCGAGCATGGTGATGAGGAGGCTCCTCTTCTGCCCTTTTGCAACGCGACCTCTTGGGGGTGGGTGGGGGGGAGGACATCCCTGGGGGGCCCTCAAGCATACCTCAACTATGAGCTCCTGCATGGGCAGCTTTTCTAGGAAATGCGAGAACCTTCAAGTGCTGACAGGGACCTAATTTGGCCAGCAAAGCATTTGGAGAAGCGGTGGAGGGCAAGAATGACAGACAGGCCAGAGGCTCTTCCTTCCAGGGTTCCAAGTAATACACCCAGAGCAAACAGAACTCCGAGGCAGGTAGATTCCTCAAAGAATAGTTCTATTTGTTGTGGTTTGCCGGCAGTTGTTGCAGACGGCAGCAGAGACAGACAGTGAGGAAGAAAGGGGGCCAGTCAGGGAGCCCGGAGAGGACTCGGACGAGGGTCCGGCATCCAATGCAGAGATGGAGCCAGGAGCATCTGGGAGTGGGGTGCTGCCTTCGGAGCCTCCAGAGTCTGGCAGCAGCGAGGCAGAGGACCCAGGGGAGCCTGTTCCCAGGGCACGTGTGCACAGAGCTGCTAGAAGGCGAGAGCAGCTGAAGCAGAAGGGGCGACTCAGGAGTAAGGCTGGGAGGTGATTGCCCCACGCCTAAGGGATAGAAGTCAGACCTCAATGAGGAACGCTTTGCAGGAAGATTCCGAGGCCGCCTTGCAGCTCTGGGAACTCTGGTCGGTTTTTGCTGGTCCTTCGGGTTGGTTTCTGTTCTCATTAATTTGGATACTCCTGTTTTTTTGGCAGCCTTCTACAGCCCCGAAAGACGTGCTCTTATCTTGGGGAACTGTTTATAATCAGTTCTGGCTGGGAATGCAAGTAATTCCCAGCATTGCATTAAAACAGGTTTGCCTTTTAAAATAAGTTTGTGTTTCATTAAGTTTGATGAAGCCTGAGTCAGAACACTACTGGACATATCACATTGGCCCAGATCATCGCTGAATAGGCCCTCCCTGGTCACTGGTCTTGAAATGGACTCTAGACCAGACCAGCAGGACTGTTTATGGTTCTTGGTTTTCCTAGATCATTGAAAACTGCCCCGTGACTGGCATTGAAGTCAGGACAGATGACTTTGGGGTCCCACGAGTGGCGGCTGTGCTGACGAAACAGGGAGCCATCCAGACGTCCTGCGTGGTCAACTGCTGTGGTAAGGAAGGCGCCCCAATCGGCTCCTGCAAAAGAGGGGCTGGGACTCCTGCGGTCTGAATGCAGGCTTAGCCAGTGTAGAACTGGGATACACTGGGTTCTGTGTCAGGAGAAGGGAGTGGGAAAAAGGAGTTCCTAAAATCTTATTGTCAACTCATAAAACATTCCTATGCCTGTTTTAGTAGTTGCCATAAAAAGGGGGGGGAAGCGTACATTCCACACTTACCTTACAAAGATTGTAACTAAGCTACTGAATCTTCTGCCTGGGAAAATCCTTAATTGGAGAATATAATTGATATCACCCAGCCCGTGAATGGGCTCAATTGGAGAATCTGTTTTATGAGACCCTGGGGAGAGGGGGAGAAACAGGGTCACAGGTGATTGTAAATAACATATGCCAGAGTTGGCTTCATACAGGGCAGGGCCAGTATGTTGCCTTGAATGAATCCTTTGAAGTTTTTTGAAGTTTGGCTCAAGAATCATGATTTAATTAGGGCGATTGCTGGAATCCTGACACTTATTTTATGTTTAATCATGTTGATATGGCTGCCCAACTCACAGAAAAGCAATTTGTGTGGCAGAACAGTTGTAAAACCAAAATATTAAAATAAGTTGAGTTAAAAACCTAACAATATTATTAATAGCAAGAGAATGGAGAAAGGGAGCTTATGCATCTCCTTGTGTCTTCTGGCCCTTAGCAAGGGCTTTTCTGGGTGGTCTCCTCAGCATTCTTCTTCTAGATAGTCCTTCGAATGCTCCTCTGAATTTTCTTCGGTTTCACTCAGCAGATCATAAATCCTTTTATGGTTGAATTATTATTCCCCTTTAGAATTAACACTGACTTTACTCTGGATAGAAACCAAACGGAAGCTATCTTCAGTAACCACTGGAACTATTATTATATTATATTTATTA